TATATATATATATATATATATATATATATATATACTATATATGTATAATATTATATATACCATATTTGTAGTCTTTCAAACTGCGCGCCGAATTGGTTTTCCGGACTTATAAACGCAATTAAACTACTGTAATAATACCACAAATTAAATTAAATTGACAAATAAATTTTAATAATTTGATGCTCAATCCGATATCATATTAGAAAGATGTCAAAAACTATAAATAAATTTATGCGAAAAATATTACCGCCGGGAGTCGAATCCGGATCTCTTATATTTATTTTCACAGTACGAACGTCCTAAGCTTTTAGACTACTGAGGCGTCGAGTAAAAGTCTCGGTAAAAAAAAATCTGATATGATAATTTATAAAGAAATATAATACATGTTAATCGATATATAAATGGTACAAATATCTATAAGAAAATACAGAATGCCCTGTATGTGTATTATATATATATACATATATATATATATATCCACTGATATATGTAACCTACACAGTTTAACGTTGGATCCGAACGGCACTGATGATCAAAGATCTTTTAAACCAAATGAAGTTATTTTCGGCTCCTTAAACGCGAAAAATCGCGTATATGAGCGCAAAGATTGAACTCGGATCCACAAATCGCGAATTAATCGCACCGAGCGACAAGCCACTCGACGCCTCGAGTCTAAAAGCTTAGAGATCCGGGTTCAACTTCCGATCGAGGTATTTTTCGCAATAAATTTATTTACAGTTTTTCAGTACATTAACATCTTTCTAATATGATATCGGATTGAGTATCAAATTATTAAAATTTGCTTATCAATTTAATTTAATTTGCGACATTATTACAGTTTAATTGCGTTATAATATATCTGGAAAACCAATTCAACGCGCAGTTCGAAAGACTACAAATATGGTATGTATGCAAATACATATATTGTATATATATATATATATAAAATTCACATTGAATTATTTAAAGTATTAAAGATCCAGCTTCGACCGTTATAGGCTTTAAATTCTTACTTGTGTATTCACATTACGGTCTTAATAAATCATTTATTATTAAAAATTTCAATAATTTATATTAAAAATATATCATTAGCCAATTATTAACTCAAACTGTTACAAGTATATTCCGTACAATATTTCCGACTTTAAGGTATTGCACGGTGATTGTATAATATTTATACATACACACTTGTATCCCAAAGAAATATTTTAAATTATTTAACCTCGTATTGGAAATTTGTTTGCATTCACCTTTTTGCGAGCCCTGGCGGAATCGCAGTAATTACATCATCATGCGCGATTACATTCGGTTAAGTATGCCGTAGATGGTATTTAAAATCAAACCTGCACACGCTGCATACCGTTAAATGGTCGTTTCGAATAAATTGCGCATATCGTATACATAGATTTTCGGACAGTGGGTGATAAACGATGCAATCTGCTGATTTCGGACGATCCGCGTTCGCTCTTGTTTTATAGCACTCGGTTTTCGCGCGCCAATCTCCACATACACGAGTTAATTTAATGTCAGAATGGCGTACGTGCGCGATTTATTGCCGAATTCTATTAAGCACATAC